TTGGATTTTGTTTCTTCTTTTTCTACTTTCGGTGTAAAGTTAAGTTGTTTATTTGAGATTTTTCTTGTTTCTTGAAATAGGTTTTTATAGCTATGAACTTCCCCCTTAGAACTACTTTTTCTGCACCCTCTAAATTTTGGGGAGTTGTGCTTTTATTTTTATTTATTATCAGGTATTTTTTATTTCCTGTTTGATTTCTTTTTTGGTTCAACAGTTTAATAACGTTATTAAGTTTCCACGTATTTGTGGGTGTGTGTTTTCCCAGCTTTCTTCTTATAGTTGATTTCTAGTTTCATTCTGTTATGGTCAGAAAATATGCTTGATATGATTTCATTAATCCCTCTGTGGCTTAATGTTTGAACAATCTTGAAGAATTTTCCATGTGTACTTGAAAAAATGAGTATTTTGCAATTTGGTGGATGCAATATTCTAGTAATTTGATATGATCTAACAGGACAATTAAGGCTGTTGTTTCCATATTAATTTTCTTGCCTTCTGGATGATCTCTCCAACAGTATTAGAGTAGGGTAGTAAAGACCTCTACTAGTGTTATTGCCGTCAATTTTTACCTTTATGTTCATTAATATTTGTTTTATATATTTAGGCACTCCTGTGTTAGGTTTATAGATATTTATAATTGTTATATTCTCTTCTTGGACTGACCCCTTAAAAACTGTGTGATATCCTTTTTTATGTCTTTTTACCTTCTGTGTTTTAACTTTTTTTAAAATATATCTTTATTGATTTCAGAGAGAGAGGAAGGGAGAGGGAGAGATAGAAACATCAATGATGAGAGAGTACTTGATTGACTGCCTACTGCACGCCCCCCACTGGGGATTGAGCCCGCAACCTGGGCATGTGCCCTGACCTAAAATTGAACCTATGATATCCTGGAAACTAGGTTGATGCTCAACTGCTGAGCCACACCCAGCCTGGCGTACCTTCTGTGTTTTAAAGTCTGTTTGTTTGATATGTGTTGCTACCCCAACTTTTTTGTTTCTGTTTGCATAGACTGTCTCTCTCTTTTTTTTTAATCCTCACCCAAGGATATATTTTTTCCATGGATTTTCTAGAGAGAGTGAGAAGAGAGAAGAGGGGGGAGAGAGAGAGAAACATCGATGTGGGAGAGACACGTCGATTTGTTGCTTCCCACATGCACTCTAACTGGGGCCAGGGAGTCAAACCTGCAGCCAAGATAGTGTGCCCTTGACCAGGAATCAAACCCGTGGCCCTTTTGATCCCTTCAGTTCAGTCTGTGTATATCTTTCCATCTAACGTGAGTCTCTTAGATGCAGGGTATAGATGGGTCTTGGTTTTTTTAAACTCTGTTCTGCCACCCTGTGTCTTTTTTAATTTTTATTTTATTTGTATTATTTTTACTTTTAATTACAGTTTATGTTCAGTATTTTATATTAGTTTCAGGTGTACAGAATACTTTACAAAGTGGTCCCCCTAGGAACCATACATAATTGTTATAATATTACTGACTATATTTACTGTGCTATAATTTGCATCCCTGTGACTATTGTCTTTTGATTGGAGCATTTAGTCTGTTTACATTTTAAGGTAATTATTGATAGGTATGTTTGCCTTTTTTTTTTTTTTATGGGGTAGTGGTGGTTTTTCATTTGTGTATTTTCTTTTCTCTTGATCTCTTTTCTTTTGATTTGTTGGCTTTCTTTAGTGCTTTGATTGGGTTCTTTTTCTTGTTACTATGAGGGTCATAAAATCCTATATTTTTAGCAGTGCAGTGTAAGCTGATAGGCATTTAAGTTCAAACACATTCTAAAAGCACTACTTACCCATCTCCACACTTTGTAATTTTGATGTTATATATCTTTTTGTTTTGCTTATTTCCTGATTATTTATTGTAGTTAACAGTGATTTTGCTACTTTTAACTTCTATATTAGCTTTCTTTTTTTTTTTTAATATATCCTTATTGATTTTAGAGAAAGGAACAGAGAGGGAGAGAGGGAGACCAAAACATCAATGAGAAGAGAGAGTCATTGATTAGCTGCCTCCTGCACACCCCCGACCAGGGATAAATCCTGCAACCCGGGCATGTGCCCTGACTGGAAATTGAACCTTGATCTCTTGCATCCTAGGTTGATGCTCAACCACTGAGCCACGTCCGGCCAGGCTATATTAGCTTTTTAAGTGACTGATTTACTGTGGTAATTCTATATTTGCCTTTACCTGTGAAATTTTTTCTTCATATATTTTCTTACTACTGGTTATAGCCTTTACTTTTCTGCATAAAGAAGACCCTCTAATGTTTTATGTAAAGCTGGTTTAGTGGTGATGAACTTCTTTAGATTTCAATTTCCTGGAAAACACATTTTCTCCTTTGTTACTGATCACCTTGCTGGGTATAGTATTCTGGACTGTAGGTTATTTTCTTTATGCATTACAACTGAAAGTATTTCCTAACACTTCCTTCTGGCCTGCAAAGTTGCTGCTCAGATCAGCTGATAGTCTTAGCTGTGTGCCTCAGTGGTTAGAGTGTTGGTTGGTAGACTGGAGAGTCCAGGTTTGACTCTGGCTGAGGGCCCATACCTTAATGGTAGGCTCAATCCCTGGCCCAGGTGAGGTACGTGCAGGAAACAACCAATCATTGTCTCTCTCACATTCCCCCTCTTCTCTCTCTCCCTTCCAGCCTCCCCCCCACCTCTCTCTCATGTACGCATGCACAACTCCCCTCTCTGAAAAACAAAGGAGAAAATATCCTCCATGAGAATTTAAAAAATAAATCAGCTGATAACCTGATGGGGTTTCTCTCTTATTGACTTGATTCTCACTTGGTGCCTTCTCTCAGAATTTTCTCTATTTTTAACTTTTGCCATTTTAAGTACAGTTACCCACGTGGTGTGGTTTTTTTGGGTTCATCTGGTTTAAAACACACCGTTCCCTGGGCCTAGATGCCTGTTTCCTCCCTAAGATTAAGGAAGTTGCCAGCTATTATATCTTCAAATGTACTTTCTGCCCCTCTATGTCTTCTCCTGTAGTCTCCATAAGGCAAGGTTAGTGTGCATGATTAATGTTGTCCCAGAGATTCCTAATACTATTTTCATTTTAAAGAATGTTTTTTGCTGTTTTGATGGGGTGATTTTCACCATTTTCAAGGTTGCTAATCCATGTACATTAACTGAGCTGCTGTTGATTCTTTCTAGTGTTTTCCATTTTAGTTATTGTATTCGTCATCTCTGAATGTTTATTATATTTTCTCACTCTTTGTTGACATCCTCTCTGTTTCTGTACTTTCAAATTGTTGAGCATTCTTATGACAGTTTTTTTACTACTTTATCAGGGAAATTGCCCATATTAATTTTTTAAGAATTCATTTGTGGCTTTTTTGTTGCTCTTCATTTAGGAAATATTTTGTCTCTTTATTTTGTTAGACTCTCTGTGTTTGTTTCTGTGAGTTAGATGAAATGACTGTCTCAATGTTGAAAACATTGCCTTGTGTTACTGTATAGTGAGCTTACTTCAGACTGCGTACTAGATGCTCCTAGGCTGGATGGAGTTGGAGCAGCTACCTGCAATACTGGGTGCCACCTGGCCAGGAGGAGCATTCATGGGCAAGACTGCCTGATGAGTGTTTGCTTCTTTGTGCCCAGCTGGCCTGGGTGATAAGGCCCCACCACACCCTGCTGGTCTGCTCTCAATCCAGGCAGGGCCTTCAGGTATGCTCTCATGGTTGTCCATGTTAATTTTATTGCCTAAGGCAGGAGCAGAGTTTGTGCTGTGCAGGTCAGTCCTGTGAGAGTGCCCTGTTGATTTCCTATTACTCCAGGCACAGCTGCCCTGTGCACCGTTTCTGTTGTTTGACTGCTGCTTGAACCCAATCTGTGTTGCTCCCACCACCCCATGCTGTTAATTCACACTCTGCTGTATCATGCTGGTTCCCTTTTATCCACACAGGGCTGCCCTGTGTGTGTGTGTAGCAGTGGTTTGGTGTATGTGTGTCTTAGCACTGTATTGGACCCACTGGATCTGGCTGCTAACAAGGGACTTTGTTCACACACTGTAGTGCCATCTTGTTTCTGTTTGAGCTAGCTTAAGGGGTGGTGCCTGGGGGGGACACTGTGGCAGCCTTGCACATTGACCAGTGCCCGTGGAGAGCTCACACCTGAGCTATCCAAGTTGGGAGAACACAAAGAATGCCACTACCTGTTCCTTTAATTTTGATGGGTTCCCCAGTTTTCTCTCTGTGATCTCTCTCTTCTGTGTTGTGCAAAAGATGTTCAGTTGTCTCTCAGAGGGAAATGCTTTAAATATAGGTATGTATTCAGTGTGTTTGTGGGAGGGAGGGAGCTTGTTCGACATGCCTTCTTGGAGTATTTTATTTTTTTGTATAGCATTAGTTCTTCAACAGTGTTGTATAATGTGTTTTATTTTTCTCCATGTAATTCAAAGAAACAGTTTTGAGTTGCCATTTATTTGGTAGAAGTTTTGTACCTCTTCTTACCTACATAAATAAAAGTGTACTTGCTATGGGTGTTTACAATCTGACATGATTTTTAAATGTATTCTGAAAAATTCTAATTGCTCTCAGGCCCTGCTCTGGGGTTTTTTCCATTTTTAAGTAAATCCATCATGTTGTCCCAAATCTCTGATTTTAAAGCTTCCTGCCAGGTAATACAATCAACCTACTTGTAGTGGGAGAATTGTAAGCATTTAAACTATGTACTAATGTCAACTTGGGATGTTATAGGAGTTAACAGGTATAGGTTGTTAGGGGACCAGTTACATTTTTAAAAGTGTATTTTAAAAATACTCTTTATTTTCTTATACTCTTTATGAGAACTAGGAGTAGTTTATAAAGGAACAAGTAGTAATAATAACAGTAGGTAATATTTATTACTTGTCATTTGGTACCCACATATTTGTAAGCATTTGTTTTTCATGCAGTTCTTGAAACAACCCAGTGATTTAAAGGCACATTTGTTCCATTGAATATACAGTATAATAATGACCTTTTTTTCCCATTAATTTTCAGGTCATCAAGAAAATAACAACTTCTGTTCTGTTAACATAAATATTGGTCCAGGTGATTGTGAATGGTTTGTCGTTCCTGAAGATTATTGGGGTGTTCTGAATGACTTCTGTGAAAAGTGGGTTTTTGAACTTTTAAAGTAATTTTTAAACATTTTTTATAAAGGGCAAAAGTGTGATGCTGAATTTCAAATTATTGTTTAACAGAAATTTTATTTTAAATGATTTTATTCCAAATTTTTTAGTTTACGTTACATGTAATATATGAAAGGCCATGAAACCGGCCGATGCAGTAGTAACAGGTATGAATTCAGAAGATAGGGAATGAATTATTTCTTAGGTTAATTTTAAAAATTGATGCGTGGCCCTGCTGGGCTTGGCTCAGCAGTTGAGCATCAACTTGGGATCCAGGAGATCCAGGTTCAATTCTTGCTCAGGGCATATACCCAGGTTGCAGGCTCCATTCCCAGTCGAGGGTGTGCAGGAGGCAGCCAGTCAGTGACAACTCTGTCATCACTGATGTTTCTCTCTCTGTCCCTCCCTCTCCCTTCCTCTCTTTGAAATCAATAAAGATATATTTTTTAAAAATTGTTGCCTGAATCCACATTCATTTGGCAAACGTGCTTTAAGAAAAATTTGGCTTATTGTAATTGAATTTTAGAAATGGTAGGAATTCTAAAATTAAGTACCCTTATATCTTGTAAATGACTCAAGCTGTGTATCATTGTAAATCAGCCTAAAATTGTTAGTTATCCAACAGCAAGCAAATCACCTGCTATTTTCAGAGTTAGTAATGATATTGGTATAACTATGTATATTATTCATTTATACTCATTACTGTGTAATGTAAATTATACATTATATACTTAAAACAGAAAAAATTGGATAAAATTTTCATAATACATGAGATTATTTTTAAATCAATACACATAGATCATTAATTTTTACTTTTAATGTTTTGAAGGGTCTTTATCAATATATTTTATTTCATAAAAACTACATCATAGTGGTTAAAAAAATAACACTGACTTTTTTTTTTAATTTAAAATATTACAAATGTCCCTTTATCTCCCCAATGACCCATTCCACGCCATCCCACCCCTCTCCCCATTCTCCTCCCCACCATTGTGTGTGTCCTTGGGTGTGCATATATGCATATAAATTCTTCGGTTACTCTCTCCCCCTCCACCCACCCGCCCTCCTTCCTCCCTCTGACATTTGTCAGTCTGATCTATGCTTCCATGTCATCAAATCTATTCTGTTCATCAGTTTATTAAGCTCTGACATTTTTTTATTTTAATCTTCACTCAAGGATATGTTTAGAGAGAGGGGAGTGGGAGAGAGAGAGAGAGAGAGAGAGAGAGAGAGAGAGAAACATCGTTGTGAGAAACAAACGTTGACCAGCTACGTCCTGTATGCACCCTGACCAGGAATCAGTCCCACAACCTGGGTATGTGCCCCACTGGGAATCAAATCTACAACCTTTTTTGGTGTATGAGACTACACTCCAACCTACTGAGCTGCATGGCCAGGGCAAAATATGATTACTTTTAAAGTTTTATCATATGTATATGTTTTCCTTAGTCTAAGTACAGTTTTTAAAAATTTATTAGGAAAATAATCTATTTTTATCTGAACTTTATGTATTAGCAAACTAACAGCTTAAGCAAGGAAAAGATAATTGAGTCTTCATTGTCCTACAGAAAACATTTATTTCTTAGTTATAAAAAATGTATATTGTAGTATTTGTTACAGGTTCAGTATACTGATCCTTATTATTTTGGGTGGGAACTGACTATTATCAGGGTTTATCTTTTCTTGCTTTCAAACAGATAGGTGATCCAGCTCACAAATTGTTGGAAAAGACAGGTGATATCCAAACCATATGAATTTCAGGGTAATAAAAATATCAAGTTAGAATGATTCATTTATTTAGAGTTGTAGAAATGGCACTATCATCTCAGCTTTTCACTGTAGTTTTATTTTCCATAAAGATAATTGATTTTAATGTTTATAATTCCTATTTTAACTATTTCAAATAATATGATACATTGTTTTAAAATCAGTTGATTTCAGCTTTAGAAAAAAGACCTATTTGCCTTTGTTGGCTTTCCTTCCTCCATCCCCCTACCCCCACTTTTTTTTAATGGAAAGTTTTTTCCAGTTTTATATTGGTAATGTTTGAGTGAAATATGGCTAAGGTTTGTACTGTGTTTGTAATTTTTTTCTTTCTTTTTCTGTCTTTGTGTGTGTGTGTGTGTGTGTGTGTATGTGCATGCACGTGTGTGTGGGGGCGGGTGGTGTGTTTTACTGAAAATATTTGAAAGCTTATAAAAAACATACCAGTCTTTTTGTCCCTTGATTTGTCAGCATCTTCTGGACTTAAGTTAAAAAAAGCCTTCCGTTTTAGGAAAGGAAAGGAAGAGAAGTTTCCATATAGACAACTCTAAGACATGTTTTATTATATCTTTAGGACAAAAGAAGGGATAAAGTAAAAACATTTCCTAAATCTTAAAGGAACAGTTCTATTATGTGAATTTCTTTTTCAGAAAATTGAATCATTTGAAGTACCTAAAATATATCTTATTAAATTCTTCATAGAAAAAAATTGTTAATGTAGTTAATCTTGTGATGAAAGAGAGTAGTAAATAAAATTTAAAATTAAAACTTAATAATTGTTCTGTTTATGTTGGTGGTGCTAGTAGTGGTGGTTCATGTAAAAATAGGGACCTTCTGGCAATTCCTGGGAGAAAATAAAGGACAGAAAAACTCTGGATCCAGATAAATCAAGGGAAGGTTCCCATTCTTACATCTGCCACAGTGATTCTGATTAAGAAGTTTAAGTGGCTTGATGTGGTCTTCACTCTCAACTTCCTTTCCAGGACTTTTAATAGAGGTTTTTTTGGGAAGAAGGGATAAATCAGAATGTTCTTTATTGAAAGCAAATTAAAAACCAGTATATAAAGTATAATGTGGAACTTTAAATTTTGGAGTTTTGAAAAGTAAGTTTAAGCATATTGTACAGATCTTTGAATAAACCTCCCTTCAGTCACCCACTGTTAATTTTGTTGTAAAGCCCTCACTTTTGAAAAATGCAGTTCTTATTACAGTACTGTTAAGCTTTAATGAATGAAATACACTGAAAGCACTTTTAATTTTTTGAAATTATTTACAGATTTGATGAAACATTGAAAATTTTTCCATCACATTTATTTTCCAGAAATAATTTGAATTTCCTAATGAGTTCTTGGTGGCCCAACCTTGAAGATCTTTATGAAGCAAATGTTCCTGTATATAGGTTTATTCAAAGACCTGGTGATTTGGTCTGGATAAATGCAGGCACTGTGCACTGGGTTCAAGCTGTTGGCTGGTGCAACAATATTGCTTGGAATGTTGGTCCACTTACAGGTATTTCAAATAATACATTAACAGATTTTACAAGTTAAAGTATTTTTCTAATGTAGGTATTGTTTTTCTATTAGAAAACAGCTCACTAAAAATTGGAGGTTGTGTCTGCTAGGAAATACCATTTTAGTACAGAGAGTAAATTCAAGTTAAGAAATGGATATCCAGGCCTGGCTGGGTGTGGCTCAGCAGTTGAGCATCAGCCTAGGATCCAGGAGATCAGGGTTCGATTCCCGTTCAGGGCACATGCCCGGGTTTCGGGCTAGGCAGCCAATCAGTGACTCTCTCGTCATTGATGTTTCTGTCTCTCTCTCTCCCTCTCCTTTCCTCTCTCTGAAATCAATAAAGATATGTTTTTTAAAAAAAGAATTTGTTGAAAAAAGAAATGAATATCCAAGAACAAATATTTGGGCTAATAACAAATGGCTGCTTTGTAGACAAAAATGATATACTTTTGATATTATTGTGTGTTGTTTTCATAAAGGAAGTTCTTTATGAGCAAAACCAAAGAAGAACTGTTATTTAGAATTTTTATTTCATCTGGTATATCATATATGCAGCCTTAGAACATCAAACTATTTAATACAGATAACGTAAAGAATCTGGCCTTTGGAGCTAGGAAGATATTAATGATACATTCGTAATTCTACCTTTGTCAAACCTTATGAATTCGGGCAAATGCTTTGAACATTTTGGGGCCTCGTTAATTTTCCTAATTTACAAAATAAGAATTATAAAGTCAGTAAGGCTTTGAAAGAATGAAATGAAATAAAATGTAGCACAGTGCTAAACTTCAGTAAGTTTTCTTTACATGATAATTTAAAACTATGTCATTTAAAAATCTTCTAGTGTTTTGTTTTCAGAATTGGTGTTATCACGTGAAGAGGTGATAAATAACTATCTTCATATCTCATTACTTTGGGTTACTTTGTATCTTAAAAAACTTTTTTTCTTTGTAGCCTGCCAGTATAAATTGGCAGTGGAACGGTATGAATGGAACAAATTGCAGAGCGTGAAGTCACTAGTACCCATGGTTCATCTTTCTTGGAATATGGCTCGGAATATCAAAGTCTCAGATCCCAAGCTGTTTGAAATGATAAAGTAAGTGCTTTCTAAAACTGCTAGTCTCTCTTTTCTGAGGAGATGAGTTTGGGTATATGATGAGGAGTGTTAATTAATTTTTCCCCCAGTGAATTATGTTTGTTGACAAATGATAAAATAATTCTGAAGTCCTGACCAAAAAATATAAGAAAAAAAATGTATACAAATATATATGTTCCAAATCTATGATTACTATGTATAGAGAGGAATTAAGGCATACATGATTCTATACTAAATTCATACATCTGTGCTTTTTCTTAATCTCTGACCAAACTGATTTCCTAGGACCTTTTTATGTTTTTTGTTTGTTTGATTGTTAATCGTTACCTGAAGATATTTTTTCATTGATTTTTAGAGAGAGTGGAAGGGGGGAGAGAGAGAAAGAAAGAAAGAAACAATGTGAGAGAGACGTACTGAATGATTCCCTCCCCACTCTCCCTGACTGGGGCCAGGGATCAAACCCAAAACCCAGGTACATACCCTTGACCTGCAATTGAACCTGCAGCCCTTAGTTCTGAGGACTGACACTAACCATTAAGCCAAACCAGCCAGGACTAAGTTTTAATATTAGAAGTTTGCCCACAGCAACAGAGAATGATAATATAATATAAATAGTCCACAGTGAAATTAACATTTAGAATAGTGATTTTACTGAAATGATAAAATTTTCTGGATGGTCTCATTAAATTATCCCTTTCTTAGTTTCCTGAACCACTCATTATAAATTTAATAGATTAACAATTTGAATACATATATCCTATTAGCTTCTCTTTTATTGACTTATTTATTTTTTTAGACAATAACTTATTTTTTTTAGAGAGAGAGAGGAAAGGAGAGGGAATCATTGATGTGAGAGCAAAATATCAATGGGCTGCCTCCTACATACTGCCTACTAGGGATCAAGCCCGCAACCTGGGCACATGCCTGACTGGGAATTGAATCTGTCACCTTTTGGTGTACAGGTCTACATTCCAACCAACAGTCACACCGTTGAGGGCCCATTTATTTTATAACTATTTTTAGATTACATACTTCCAGACAGTGCCACTTAGCAGTGTGTCTCCAGATTTCTATTTCCATACTTTTTTTCCTCTCCCCTCCACTGTCACCAAGGAAGAGTAATTCTGGCCAAATTTGGGGAATTATAGACTAAATAGTTAAATCACTGTTTATTTGTTTTCACTATGTCTATTCAGGTTCTATGTATGTTCATTATTTTGTGAATGGGAGAGAAAGATTTACAGTGTCTCCAAAACTTATTAGATCACTACCTTTAGAAACAGTGTTGGTTTATTATAAGTCATTTCAAATCTATGACAAAATTTTGTTCTAACCAATATATCCACACAAAAGTTTTGAGGCCAGGGTAGTGTACCAGTGCAGTGTTTTATCTAGGACTCATTTTATTTTTTTTATAGATGTGTAAAATTTGAAAAGTTTGAAAACATTTAGTCAAAACTCTCACCCAGTGTAATAATTTCTATTAAAATTTCACAGTTTTTGGTCATTTGTTAAGTTCTTCATTGTGATAATTACATCAAGTCTAATTTCTTGAAGATACAGCCTAGTCCAAAATGTACTGTTTGCTCTCAGAGCCCTAGACATTATTATTTATGCAAATGAATCACATTCAGCAAGTGTTTGAGAACCACAAACTATATGCCAGACACTATTTTTAGGAATAAGAATATGCACTCCAGTGTATAAAACAAAATCTTTGTGTTTGTATGGTTTAAATTCTAGTGAGCCAGACAGACCAATTCTCAAATACATAAATAAGTTACTGTTAAGTAATATGAGTAAAATAAAATAGGACAGTATGTTTTCTCGTTAGAGAGGTAGAGAATGCTACTTTTTGTTGAAGTGTCTTCTGAGAGCATGTTTTCTATACTTGCACTAAATAGTGCAAAGGAGATAACTATAGAAGATCTGAGAGTAAAAACATTGTAGACCTTCAAAACAAGTGAAAGGCTTTGGTGTATTTATGGGACAGAATGGCCAGTGTGACTAGTAAATGATGAAAGGGAATAAACAGATGTGGTGATTTCACATAAATGTTCAGGTACCAAATTTTAGATGGATTTAGAGGCAATGGTAAGAACTTTAGGTAGTAATTCTGAGTATTGTGGACTACTGTTAAAGGACTTAAAGAAGGAAAGGCCTAGATTCTTTTTTATATTTAAAAAGTATGAAGCCCGGCCGGGTGTGGCTCAGTGGTTGAGCATCAACCTAGGATCCAGGAGATCAGGGTTCGATTCCCGGTCAGGGCACTTGCCCGGGTTGCGGGTTGCAGCCAATCAATGACTCTCTCTTATCACTGATGTTTCTCTCTCCCTCTCCCTTCCTCTCTCTGAAATCAATAAAGATTTTTTTTTTTAAATTAAAGTAAAATAATAGTAAAATAAAAAAATAAATAAAAACTATGAATGTATTACTTTATGGCAAATGGATTTCAAGGTGCAAGATTAGAACTAGAGATAATAGAATGCAGTTGTAACAATCTAGACTAATTTGGATTGAGATTGTAGCAAAAAAAAGTGGAAAGAAGGATCATAGCGCTGATGTTGCTCAGTGGTTGAGCATTGTTCTGTGCACCGAAAGGTCACTGCTTCGATTCCCAGTCAGAACATGTGCCCAGTTGCAGGAGGCAGCCAGTCAATGTTTCTCTCTCCCCTTCTCCCTTCCTCTTTCTCCAAAATCATTTAAAAAATAAACAAATAAAATAAAGGTGAAAAATCGTTTTTTAAAAACAAAAAAGGATCACTGTGCAGACTGTTGCGAAGTGTAAGCTTTAGGGCTTATTTATAGATTGCATAGTGAGATAAGGAAAAAGCAGTCAAGAAAAGATGGTTATAATGTCTTGTTCTTTCTTTTTTTTTTTTTTTTT